CAATTCCCAGTGTTTGAAGTTTTGCTAAGAGGCCCTGGTGCCACACCCGGTCAAAAGCGCCAGCAATGTCCAGTGCTACCACACAGCTGACTTTGCATTCATCCAGTGACTGGTGCCACTTAGTGGAGAGGTTTAACAACAGATCAGCAGCACCTTTCCTGAAGCCATATTGACGATCATGAAGTAGTGAGTGGTAGTCAAAAAACTCTGTCATTTGTCTTGAGATTATTGTCTCAAGGATCCTACCAGTGATTGACAGGAGTGACACTGGTCTGTAGTTGCTGATTTCTGCTCTGCTCTGCTACTTCTGGGTGTCAGGAACGGATTAATTGCATTTACATTATTTCTTATGGGGAAAATTGATTCAAAAATCGTCTATTTCGATAATAGTTCCACTTCCATGAACGGATTGTGGACAATTATTGAGGGACCACTGTATTCTAATTTTTTCGGTCTCATTTGATAGAATGAAAGATGTATTACAGAAATAGATATGATTTTGATTGCTTTCATGACGAAAAGTACCTTGAAATTGCGCTAACAGTAGCGAAAATGTTCTAGTCTTTAGCGAAGCTCAAGAGTAAACAAATAACATCACCGTCCAATACCTGTACGCCAGCCAGTCCAAATTCCAATACGGAGTCAAGAATGGGTTGACATTTTTTATACAATTATTACAATAATGCAGCAGTCTGCGTAACAGTAAATCTTCTATTTTTTTGTGAATAAAAACTCCAAATGGTAAGCAAGAATAATATAAGAGGGGCCTGTAGCCATGACTAATGAACAGAGAAATGTTATTTTACTGCCAGGAATGTCTGCATTGTTTATTCTGGACCCTATTTTAAAATTGGCATCTGCTGAAATTTGTGTGAAATCAGCCAAATTGCTAATTTCTGACCACTTTATTGGGTAGTTGAAATAAGTGAATGGGCGGTTTCTTGTACTCAGTTGACAGACTAAAAGAAAATAAGTTTATTCAGGTATACACAAATACAGTTACATAGATTATCATACATAGAAGTGTATGTACAGACAACCTGGGATAACCCAGAAAAGTGAGACAAAAAGTGACTTATTTCCAGTACCCGGCTTGGGCTTGCCATATGGTTGTATGATTTTTGGTAAATATTTTTTTTTCTCGGTTGTTTGTTGGGCTATCTCATTGAAACTTGGGCAATGTATGATGGAAAGATGCTTCTTAATGTACAACAAAAATAAAAATGACGGATGATAAATAAGGGAGTTCACTTCTCAGCCATTAGCCGCCTCTTTGCAGTATATTTTCATATGTTTTTTATGGTTGTACAGTGGTCCCTCAATTATTGTCCATAATCCGTTCCTGGAAGTGGGACTATTATCGAAATAGACAATTTCTGAATCAATTTTCCCCATAAGAAATAATGTAAATACAATTAATCCGTTCCTGACACCCATAAGTATTAAAACAAAAAATTTTTTTACATGAAATATAGATGTAGTACATAAACAATACAATGGCACATGATGAATGAAACATTAACAGCATAACACTTACCTTTATTGGTGATTCTTCTTAGTGTATGGAAGACTGGAGGAGGAGAGACATTGAATTACTGTTTGGAAGGGGAATCCCCTTCCATCAACACCTCAGGTACCAAGTGAATTTCTGGGGTTACTTCTCTTCTCTGTTTCTTAATGCCACTAGGACCACCTTGAGAGTCACTGGAGTCCTGTCTCACAAAAAAACTGTTCAGAGAGCTCTGTTTCTGGCATCTCTTTAAAACTTCCCTAAAATGAGCCAAGACTCTGCCACTGTACAAGTTGCCGATATGGCTTGCAACATCCTTCCCAGGGTAATGTTTCTCCATAAATCTTTCCATCCTACCCAACATTTCAAAAATCTCCTTAATTTCTGAAGAAGGCACCTTCTTCCATCTCTCTTCCTCCTCCTCTGCAGCAAGATTCTGAGCTGCGATCTGTTGCTCCTCCTGTTGAAACTCTTGCTCCTTTCATATTGTTCAATGATGTTTTTCTTTAATTCAATCGTATTTCTCACCTTCTTTACCAAAGGTTTGGCACTAGGAGCTTTCTTTGGAGCCATGGTAGCTTATTTAGCACTTGCAAGCACTAAAATGAATGGAATATTATGAAATATTTCGTAAGAACACATGAGGGGACCGTCGCTCACTGGTAAACAATGGCACACTGGCTGGGAACAGCTCAGAGCCGTGAGTACGCGTCCACGACGAAAGACAATTATCGAGTTAAAGGACCATTTGCGAGCCAATGTTTAGACGAAATAACAGGACTATTTCCGAAATGGACGACTTTCAGGCCGGACGATTATTGAGGGACCACTGTATTCTCATTTTTTTTGGACTCATTTGATAGAATGGAAGATATATTACAGAAATAGACATGATTTTGATTGCTTTCATGATTAAAAGTACCTTGAAATTGAGCTCAAAGTAGCAGAAATGTTCGATTTTTGCCGATGTTCAATGAAGTTTGTGGAAGTCAAGTTGGTTAATTTTATTAAGTGTATTCTAACCTAACGACTCTGTAATCTGGAAATTCAGTAATCCGGCACACTACAGGTCCCAATGATGTCGGATTTGTGATGTAGGACCTGTATTAGTGTAATATTGAATAATATTCTGTAGCCCGAATAATACTGAATAATAATATTCTATTGAGATCTGCATGCAACTGCCTTGCCTTTCCACAAATGATCGTCTCTGAAACACTATCTCTCACTAACTGTTTTTCCCTGATCCACAATAACAACAACTTCACATTTTCATTTGTTTGTGATCTCTTTTTCATTAACATGTTTACCCCTTTTACCAGGATAGAAGTGATTGCCGATTTGTTTTTGCCATACATCCTGGCAAGTTCCAGCACCCGCACACCACTCTCATATTTTTCTATTACTTCCTTTCTAAATTCAATTGTGTTTCTCACTTTCTTTACCAAAGGAACTTTACTAGGAAGTTCCTTGGGGCCCATGGTGACTCATTTTGCAGTTGCACTTAATAAAAAAACACCAAAAACCATGGATTTTAAGGAAATGTTTGGATGAATGCTCACAGCGTATGCTCACTCGCCGACAAGGGGAGACTGACTCACCTACGAGCGGCGTCCCGGCGGGAGGCGGGCTGACGTGTCTAATACGGCCGATATACAAGGCAACGGCCGAAATACGGAGCAAGATTTCCACCAAAAAACCGGCCTAAATACAAATCGCCCAATAAATGCAGCGGCCGAAAAACAAGATTCCAATGTACAATGTATTTATAGGTCACAGCACAGTTTTGGACATGCGAGAGTAAGACAAGTGTCACTCCACTGCTGACAGTGCAGCAGTGGAGTGATATCTAATAATCATGCACTGCCTTGGCTTTATTTGTTTTCACTGTTGCACATAAATATGTCTGTCTGTCTGTCCGTCTGTCCATCTGTGTCTGTCTAGCTCTCTGCTTATCTTTCTGTCTCTCTGCTTGTCTCTCAGAGAGAGTGACTCATGAGTCAACAGGTATTACACACTATGCAGAGATGCAGAGTAGTCACATCTGATTCCTGAACAAGCAAAAATGCATATTATTGCCAGTCAAGCTCATTATACATTGTATCTACAAATACAGTATAGCACTTTGGATTTTTTGGGTTATCCTAGGTAATTTACACTATGTAAACTGCATTTAAGTGTACCTGTGAGATAGAGAGAGAGACAGAGAGAGACAGAAACAGAGATAGGCAGAGAAAGAGAGATAGACAGACAGACAGAGGTAGAGACAGCCAATCAGTCAGCCAGCCACCAGTCAGCCAGCTGGTCAGCCAGCCAGCCGCCAGTCAGCCAGCTGGCCAGCCAGCCAGCCAGCCAGCCTGCCAAACACGTGTTATACATTCCAGAATTATTTCTCCTTACTTAGGGCATAGGTTATAGGACATTCTGGCAAGATGACACTATCAGTGGTATCAAAATTGAAAGAATGATGCACAAGTGTTGCACATATGTTATTATCGAGTTTTTTTTATATTTCCTCGACCACTTGTGGCCACATCCACCTCAAAGCCACTAAACTCGTGGTCAACATCACTTTCCTCATAAAATAAAAGTGCTAATACGACATGACATCAGTGAATCCCTGGTGTTTTCTGCAGTGTTTGCTCTAGCCGGTGCTCAATTGAACTGGTGCTCCCACAAGGTACTAAGTGGTCCCAGATTTTTTTAACGCTGAGCACACGGTGTGTTAAGACCCATTCTATACTGATCAGGCATTTCAGGCCAATGGTGCCAAATTTGGAGGCAGGAAAAATAAAACGATGATCTACGTTCGGAGTGTTAGCGGTAACAATGAATATCTATGTTTGGACAGTTAAGGGGTTAAACAAAGAAATGCAAGTAATTCCTCTGCATTTTCTAATAATGTACCAGTATATGATTTTAAATTCTGTGCCAATGCTGGAACTGTTGTCCAGAAAGTCATTAAAAAGTAAACATTTAATGAATATTTATCAAACACCACCAAACTTTCCTTACCTAGTCCGGCTGCATAAAGTTCTAATTGGAACACTTTTCTTTCCATCTTCATTTATTAACAACAAAGCAGTATATCCATTCTTGTGTTATACAGAATTATAAACTATGAGAACAAAATAATATCTTTTAACTATGATGAAGAGAGAGAGTTTGCATAGAAAGTATTTATTCTGATAATGTTTTTTTCTCAATGTTCAGGTTTATCAAGCTTAATACTAATAATGTTTCACACAGTATAACATTAAACTTGGTACTCATGATTATTTGCAGAGTAAGGCTTTATTAGGCTTAACACTGATAATATTTCTCCCATGAGCTTTCTCAAGCATAAGAATGAGCATAACATCAAAATAAAGATTTGCTCTATGAACTCTCTCACTTTACTATGTTCACTGGCATCATTTGCCAGTCAAACCAAAACACCTAACAACATTAACTTTTATTTTTTAAATTAAGAATTACAATTCATACTTACTTGAAAAACAAGTTCACCACCACCAACGCTGAACTGTGACTGGAAGAGCAAGGAAAATTTTTCATCCATTACAGATTCTGTACCTTTCTTTTCTGCTCGTTTAATTTTGCGCAGCTGCATATTTCGGAAATTAACTGACAGTTGTCTTGTGCCCTGAAAAAAAATTTACTTTAATTATTCGGCATCACCTACAAGGATAGTGAGGCTCAGGTTAGAGTATGCAGAAGAGAGATTATTTCCCAGTAAAAGTAGGCTGCAGACAGGGATGTGTGATGTCACCATGGTGTTTAATATATTTAAAACAAGGTCCATTGTTTTAAACATTAGTAGTAGATCGTAATACAGTACATCATAATTTAAACTGTTCCATTGTAATACCAAATTTCATTGTTTTAATTAGTACTAAACTGTTATACATCATATTGTAAATTGTTTTAAATTGTTACACTGTAATATTGTAATCTTTATTAAATAATTCAATAGTGTATTAAGTCTCTACCAGACTGATCAAAACCATTACCTGATAGAATATACAATTCTACTGTACTCACTAACTCATCTAATGACCATATGAACTATGTATTATTGAATTACTATTCTTAAGTTAATCTCTAAATTTGCCAGAAATGCTCTGCATACAAAGGGGCTTTTGGCATGTACAACCAACTATTATATTCCTGTGTACAGCCATGTAATCTGTCAAAATAAATATCTTTATCTTTAAAGACTCTAACACAACGTGAGAGTTATCACAGTTGCTTTTTGCTAATGACACTGTGTTTTTGGAAGATTATGAAGAGAAGTTGCAAAGGTTGTTAGATAAATTTGGGAGAGAACGTAAAACCAGAAAATTAGAGGAAAACAAAAGGGAGAGCAAGGAAATTAGGGAATAAAAAAATTAGGTAATGAAAGACTGGACATCAGACTGGAGAGAGGGAGAATGGAGGACGTGAATGTGTTCAGATATTTAGGATTGGACTTGTCAGCAGATGGGTCCATGAAAGATGGGGTGCACCACAGAGTTTGTGAAGCAAAAAGGTGAGAGGTGAATTGAGGTATCTGTGGAGACAAAGAACATTATCCATGGAGGCAAAGAAAGGAATGTACAAGAGTATAGTGGGAGCAACACACTTATATGGATGTGAAGCATGGGTTGTAAATACTGCAGCAAGGTTGAAGAAAGTGGAGATGTCATGTTTAAGGGCAATGTGTGCTGTAAATATTATGCAGAGAATTCGTGGTGTGGAAATTAGGAGGTGTGGTGAAGTTACTAAAAGTATTAAGCAGCGGGCTGAGGAGGGGTTGTTGAGGTGGTTGGGTTATTTAGAGAGGATGGAGCAAAATAGGAAGACTTGGGGGGTTTATTAACCTGTAGTGGAGGGGAGGAGAGGTAGGGATCATCCTAGGAAAGGATCGAGGGAGGTTGTGAGCGCAAGGGGCATCTGTGTGTTAGACAGGAGTGGAGACAAATGTTTTTCGGGACCTGACAAGTTGTTGAGTGTGAGCAGGGCAATGTTTTGTGAAGAGATTCAGACTTCAGTCCTGGGGGTGGGAAATACAATGCCTGTACTTTAAAGGAAGGGCTTGGGATATTGGCAGTTTGAAGAGACATCTCAACTGTTATATCTGGGTGCCTCTGTAAAGGTAATGATTACGTATGAATGATGGTGAAAAAAGAGTGTGTGTGTGGTGTGTGTGTGTGTGTGTGTGTGTGTGTGTGTGTGTGTGTGTGTTGTGTGTGTGTGTGTGTGTGTGTGTGTGTGTGTGTTGTGTGTGTGTGTGTGTGTGTGTTGTGTGTGTGTGGTGTGTGTGTGTGTGTGTGTGTGTGTGTGTGTGTGTGTGTGTGTGTGTGTGTGTGTGTGTGTGTGTGTGTGTGTGTGTGTGTGTGTGTGTGTGTGTGTGTGTGTGTGTGTGTACTCACCTAGTTGTACTCACCTAGTTGAGGTTGCAGGGTCGACTCCAAGCTCCTGGCCCCGCCTCTTCACTGGTCGCTACTAGGTCACTCTCCCTGAACCATGAGCTTTATCGTACCTCTGCTTAAAGCTATGTATGGATCCTGACTCCACTACATCGCTTCCCAAACTATTCCACTTCCTGACTACTCTGTGGCTGAAGAAATACTTCCTAACATCCCTTTGATTCATCTGTGTCTTCAACTTCCAACTGTGTCCCCTTGTTACTGTGTCCAGTCTCTTAACATCCTGTCTTTGTCCACCTTGTCAATTCCTCTCAGTATTTTGTAAGTCGTTATGTCCCCCCTATCTCTCCTGTCCTCCAGTGTCGTCAGGTTGATTTCCATTAACCTCTCCTCATAGGACATACCTCTTAGCTCTGGGACTAGTCTTGTTGCAAACCTTTGCACTTTCTCTAGTTTCTTTACATGCTTGGCTAGGTGTGGGTTCCAAACTGGTGCCGCATACTCCAATATGGGCCTAACGTACACGGTGTATAGGGTCCTGAACGATTCCTTATTAAGATGTCGGAATGCTGTTCTGAGGTTTGCCAGGCGCCCATATGCTGCAGCAGTTATTTGGTTGATGTGCGCTTCAGGAGATGTGCCTGGTGTTATACTCACCCCAAGATCTTTTTCCTTGAGTGATGTTTGTAGTCTCTGACCCCTTAGACTGTACTCCATCTGCGGTCTTCTTTGCCCTCCCCAATCCTCATGACTTTGCACTTGGTGGGATTGAACTCCAGGAGCCAGTTGCTGGACCAGGTCTGCAGCCTGTCCAGATCCCTTTGTATTTCTGCCTGGTCTTCGATCGAATGAACTCTTCTCATCAACTTCACGTCATCTGCAAACAGTGACACCTCGGAGTTTATTCCTTCCGTCATGTCGTTCACAAATACCAGAAACAGCACTGGTCCTAGGACTGACCCCTGTGGGACCCCACTGGTCACAGGTGCCCACTCTGACACCTCGCCTCGTACCATTTACTCGCTGCTGTCTTCCTGACAAGTATTCCCTGATCCATTGCAGTGTCTTCCCTGTTATTCTGCTTGGTCCTCCAGTTTTTGCACTAATCTCTTGTGTGGTACTGTGTCAAACGCCTTCTTGCAGTCTAAGAATATGCAATCCACCCACCCCTCTCTCTCTTCTCTTACTGCTGTCACCATGTAATAGAACTCCAGTAGGTTTGTGACACAGGATTTCCCGTCTCTGAAACCATGTTGTCTGCTGGTGATGAGATCATTCCTTTCTAGATGTTCCACCATTCTTCTCCTGACAATCTTTTCCATGATTTTGCATGCTATACATGTCAGTGACACTGGTCTGTAGTTTAGTGCTTCATGTCTGTCTCCTTTTTTAAAGATTGGTACCACATTTGCTGTCTTCCATGCCTCAGGCAATCTCCCTGTTTCGATAGATGTATTGAATATTGTTGTTAGGGTACACATAGCGCCTCTGCTCCCTCTCTCAGGACCCATGGAGAGATGTTTCTGGCCCCATTGCCTTTGAGGTATCTAGCTCACTCAGAAGCCTCTTCACTTCTTCCTCGGTTGTGTGTACTGTGTCCAGCACATGGTGGTGTACCCCACCTCTCCGTCTTTCTGGAGCCCCTTCTGTCTCCTCTGTGAACACTTCTTTGAATCTCTTGTTGAGTTCCTCACATACTTCACTGTCATTTCTTGTTGTCTCTCCTCCTTCCTTCCTTAGCCTGATTACCTGGTCTTTGACGGTTGTTTTCTTCCTGATGTGGCTGTATAACAGCTTCGGGTCAGATTTGGCTTTTGCTGCTATGTCGTTTTCATATTGACGTTGGGCCTCCCTTCTTATCTGTGCATATTCGTTTCTGGCTCTACGACTGCTCTCCTTATTCTCCTGGGTCCTTTGCCTTCTATATTTCTTCCATTCCCTAGCACACTTGGTTTTTACCTCCTTGCATCTTTGAGTGAACCATGGGCTCATCCTGGCTTTTTCATTATTCCTGTTACCCTTGGGTACAAACCTCTCCTCAGCCTCCTTGCACATTGTGACTACATATTCCATCATCTCATTAACTGGTTTCCCTGCCAGTTCTCTGTCCCACTGAACCTCATTCAGGAAGTTCCTCATTCCTGTGTAAGTCCCCTTTCCTGTAGTTTGGTTTCATTCGTCCTGGGCTTCCTGCTTCCCCTCCACTTGTAGCTCTACTGTGTATTCGAAGCTCAAAACCACATGATCGCTGGCCCCAAGGGTCTTTCATATGTGATGTCCTCAATATCTGCACTACTCAAGGTGAATACTAAGTCCAGTCTTGCTGGTTCATCCTCTCCTCTCTCTCTTGTAGTGTCCCTTACGTGTTGGTACATGAAGTTTTCCAGTACCACCTCCATCATCTTAGCCCCCATGTATCTTGGCCCCCATGTGGCTCCAAGTTCTCCCCATTCGATCTCCTTGTGGTAAAGTCGCCCATGATCAGGAGCTTTGCCCTGCATGTATGAGCTCTTCTGCCACTGCAGCCAGTGTGTCAACCATCGCTCTATTGCTCTCGTCATACTCTTGCCTTGGCCTCCTGCTGTTCTGTGGTGGGTTATACATCACTGCAATTATCACCTTGGGACCTCCAGAGTGAAGCGTTCCCGCTATGCAATCACTTTCTTCTCCGCTGTCTCCTCTCTCCAGCTCATCAAAATTCCATCGGTGTTTGATCAGCAATGCCACTCCTCCCCCCCCCTGTTCCTTCTGTCTTTCCTCAGGATCTGGTATCCCGTTGGGAAGATGGCATCTGTTATCATACCTGTAAGTTTGGTTTCCGTGATTGCTATGATGTCTGGTGATGCCTCTTTGACTCTTTCGTGCCACTCCTCCCACTTGTTTGTTATTCCATCAGCGTTTGTGTACCATACCTTCAGTTTCCTTTCCAACACTGTGGTTTGGGGGCCTGTGGGGGTGGGAGACCTGGTAGCATACTGTGGGATTCTATGGTTGGGGGTTGGGTGGAAGCTGTGGGTATGGATTGTATTGTGTGTTGGGATGGTGTGATAGGTTGTGGGGTTCTGAGGATAGTTGTGTGTGTGCTTGCTCTTGCTGCTCTGTTCTGCTCTGACTGACCTCTGCTGGTTCCATCCTTGTCTCCTTTCCAGCTCCTTTCGCTTTTTTGTCCTCTCCCTCAGCTGCTGTCTCTCTTTTGTGTTCTGTCTCTGTCTAGGAACACCTTCTTGTACTCTTC